GGAGCCAGGCACGTCTTCCATGCAGGTTCAGGGTCCCAAAGCTTTGGGCCGTCCTCAACTGCTTTCCCAGGCCACAGGCAGGGAGCTGGATGGGAAGCGGGGCTGCCGGGATAGAATCAGAGCCCATATGGGATCCCGGGCGTTCAAGGTGAGGACTTTGGCCATTAGGCTAATGCACCTCTACTCTCTTTATCTCTGTCTCTCTGCCTTTAAATAAATTTTAAAATCTTGGGGGAAAAATGGCATGCAGATTACAGGATTATAGAATCTTCCTGAGACGAAACAGAAAATTCCTGCTGCTTTGAAAGCAAAAAAAATCCTCTGCCTATTTCCTCAGCAAGGGGCAACAGCAGAATTGCCACCAAGCAGCCAGAGGACATCAACCAGCGAGACTTCTCTTAGTCCAGGGCAGAGCTTTGTGGAAAGGAAGAAACTCTGGGGTCGCAGTCCCGAGGACACAGGAGTGGGAAACATGACTGACAGCGTGTTGGAGACCCGGATGGAATTCAAAGTTCCTGACCTTGGCCTCATCCAGTCTCCTCCATTGTAGCCATTTGGAGAGTAAATTAGTTGATGCAAAAATGTTTTCTCTTTTCTCTTTCTGTCACTCTGTCTTTCAAATAAATAAATGAATCTTTAAGAAAAAAAAGAGGGCTTGGCGCGGTGGTGCAGTGGTTAAGGTCCTCACCTTGCACGCCCGGGATCCCATGTGGGCACTGGTTCTAATCCTAGCAGCCCCACTTCCCTTCCAGCTCCCTGCCTGTGGCCTGGGAAAGCAGTCGAGGACGGCCCAAAGCTTTGGGACCCTGCACCTGCGTGGGAGACCCGGAAGAGGCTCCTGGCTTCGGATCGGCATAGCATCGGCCGTTGCGGTCACTTGGGGAGTGAATCATCGGACGGAAGATCTTCCTCTCTGTCTCTCCTCTCTGTATATCCGCCTTTCCAATAAAAAATAATAATAAATAAATCTTTAAAAAAAAAAAGAAAAAGAAAAAAAAGAAAGTGGCAGAACTGTCAGGGGTGTGTAAAGTCAGCTATGCAAATTGTGGCTCTACAACATGAGTGCATTTAACCCGCAACTCTGCAGACACTGTCAGTAGCAATCACACCCAAACACCCTGAGCCCTCGGGCCGGCACTGGGATAGAGGGGGTTAAGCTGCTACCTGTGATGGGCCTCTGGCTGCTCCACCAGTGCACCTAGGAAAGCAGCAAATGACCCCAAAACTTGGGCCCCTGCCACCTCTATGGGAGACCCGGAAGAAACTCCAAGTCCCTGGCTTTGGCCTCACCCAGTCCTAGCTGTTGTTGTTGCCATTTGAAGAGTGAACCAGTAGATGGAAGATCTCTCTGTTCCCTCCACCCCTACTGTAACTGCCTTTCAAATTAATAAATATGTCTTAAAGCAAGAACCAAAACAAACCACCCCCCCCAAAAAAAAGCCCAGGCTTCATGTCCCGTGAAAGCTCAGCGCTACCATGTCACTCTGAAGCAAGCACTCTTCCCCACTGCTCTCAATCCAATCTGAGAGTCATCAGGTCACGAGAAAGACGAAGAATGATGTCAAGAAGACAGAAATCTTCCGAGCAGCTGAAGCTCACGAGGAAAGATTTGAGCAATGCAGGAGTACGCGTGCCGTGACCTCTCAGCGGAAGGCGTGTCTTGGCTCTTCCTTAATAACGCATTCCAGAACATCTGAATGACTGACTCATCAAAGTACTGAGAGGTGAAATCAGGCTGTCCCTAAAGTAATTTATTTACTATCAATTGCTTTTCAAGCTTTTTTTTTTTTTTAAGTGAGGAGCAAGGGATGAGGTGACAGTTACAAAGCCTAGGTGATCCTGGGTGTACCCACGGGAACGTGGCACTCTGAGCTCTACGTAGGGATAGGAAAGTGAACCAACTCCAGTGAGGTGGAGCAGCTCGGCTCTGGGCCTTCTACCCTGTGGGCATGTGGCGGAGTGATATTTATCCTTACAAAACAAACATCTGTAAAACACAGCAGCTCAACACGATCATCCCGTCATTTGCTGAGAGTTCCGTGGGTCAATAATTTGAACAAAGCTTAGCCGGGCAGTTCTTCTGTTCTAGGTGGCATTGGCCGGACTCCCTCGGCTGTGTTCACCTGGTGTCTGCGAGGGCACGGGAAGCCCGAGAAAGCTTTCCTTACGAATTTCCATATTCTGGGTACTTTGTTTAAGTGGAATTATGGAATATGTGTCCTTTTGGGTCTGACATGTTTCACTTAATAGCATGTGTCAATATTCTTCTTTTAGGCCAGTCAATATCCCATTGTATGAACATGAACCCACTTTTGGTTTGTTCATTCGTCTGCTGGTAGACATTTAGTTAGGTGTCCCTTTTGGTCACTGTGAATCACGCTTACATACTGCTGGTGTACAACTCTCTGTTCAGTTGTCTTTTTCTAATTCTTCCGGGTATACCTAGCCGTGGAATTGTTGGGTCATATGCTATTTATATGCATAATTTTTGGAGGGACCACCCAAATGTTTTCTATAGCTACTGTACTCATTCCCACCAATAATACATTTGGGTTCCGGTTTCAGCGTATCATCAATGTTTGTTTTCTTCTTTTTAAAGTTTATAATCATCCTCATGTGTATTAGGCATTATCTCACTGCAGTTTTGATTTTGCATTTCCCTAACGATTCATGGTGCTGAGCATCTTTTTTTTTTTTTTAAAGATTTATTTTTATTGCAAAGTCAGATATACAGAGAGGAGGAGAGACAGAGAGAAAGATCTCCCATCTGATGATTCACTCCCTAAGTGACCGCAACAGCTGGAGCTTAGCCGATCCAAAGCCAGGAGCCTGAAGACTCTTCCAGGTCTCCCACACGGGTGCAGGGTCCCAAGGCCTTGGACAGTCCTCGACTGCTTTCCCAGGCCACAGGCAGGAAGCTGGATGGGAAGTGGAGATGCTGGGATTAGAACCGGCGCCCACATGACTTCAGACTGGCTAAGCTCTGGCCGTTGCGGCCGGCCACTTGGGGAGTGAATCAACAGACAGAAGATCTTCCTGTCTGGCTCTCCTCCTGTCTGTATAACTGACTTTCCAATAAAAATAAATAAATAAAATAAATCTTGAAAAGAAAAGAAAATCGCGCTGGTAGGTTGCAGGTGTCCTTGCCAGCTCTGATTCCTGACTCTAACTTGCTGCTAAGGTAGACTCTTGGAAGTGGCTGCAATCCTTTAAGGAATTGGGTTCCCATGGCCCCAGGGGAGACCTGGCTGGAGTTCCTGGCTTCAGCCTGGTCCAGATAGGACTGTCACAGGCGTTTTCCGTAGCATCCTTTAACATGAGACCTTGTTTCACACTCACTCGTCTGACTCCTCCACATCTAGTGCTGAACTTGCAGAATATTTGTGTTGGGTTTTCTTCTTTTTCTGTCCGAGGGGGAAAAATGTATACTTTAGCTCGTCTTTTTTTTTTTTTTTAATGTCCTGGGAGTAAAGTAATAAAATATCCAACGAGCCTATTTGAATGAAGACGAGGTGTAATTTGCATGATAAAGATATATTTCCATTTATAAAGTTCATCATCAGAATTAATGACAAATAAAGGGAAGATTCAATTAAAGTTCTCTACCTATTAACAATCCCACTTCATTCTCAGGGCAGGAATTTTAAAAGGGGAGGCTTAAGTCGGAAATTATTTAAATATTAAGGTTGGTGGCATTAAAGGGGACAAGGAGTGATCATATTAGAATTCAAGGAAAAGGGGTTCTCCAGTGATTGTTGTCATCAGAGCCAGATGTGTCCCCCCCACCCCCCAAATCCTAGTTCGGTTGGCTTTTTCCTGTTCACCCAAATGAGCTGTCAGGAACTGACAGGCGTCGTCATAATCGAAGAAAACAAGTTTGCCCTTTAAAGCAAAAGAGGTAATTTGGCTGAAAGCAAATTGGAAGCGTTTCATACAGCGTTGCATTTGCAGCAGCAGTCCCTGCAGTATTCAGGCGTTTTGATTTATGCCTGCGAGCCTTGGGGCATTCTGGGGAGAGGCTCGTTCATGAAATACTTTGTTCACATCCGTGCCCGTGGCCTGGGGGCAAGGATCTTTCATCCTCAGAGAGGCCAAGGGGGCCCTCTCACCGGCTCTGAAACTTTATTTGTGGTGAAGAACTCTGAGGAAGGCACCAGCTTGGCAGGAAGTGAGTCTGCATGGAGGCAGTGCAAGGTGGAGGCCTCCACCCCGCCCCAGCCCCTGCTTCCCACTTGTCTCCAGGGGAACTGAGCACCCCAGCACCTGACCACCTGACCCAACCTGTCTTTCTGGTTTGTTCTCACTTTCGGTATGGTCTGGTCCCGGTTTGCATGGCCCCACCCACTTCCCAACCTCCACCCTGATGTCCTGGGAACATGGCCTGTCAGTCGCTTAGGTTATGTTGTCAGCTTGGGTTCCCTGATTGCAAGTGACAGAAACTTGCACTGGCTAAGTAGCATGTCCAAGGCTTCAGAAAAGACCATAGCCGAGGAAAGCCTGGCTGTGAGGTAGACAGGCAGGGGGAGAGAGATAAAGAGAATGACAGAAAGATAATCTTCCAACTGCTGGTTTACTTCCCAGATGCTCACAGTAGCTAGACCAAAGCTGGAAGCCAGGCACTCCACCTGGACCTCCCATGTGTGGTAAGAATACAAGTACTTGGGCTGCCCCCTTAGCAATAAGCGAGAATTAAAATGGAGCCAGAAGGCCTTAGGATAACCCTCCTCCACCTGCAGCACCAGCATTCCATAAGGGTGATGGTTTGAGTCCCAGCTCTTCCATTTCCAGTCTAGCTCCCTGCTAATGGCCTGGGAAGGCAGTAGAGAATGGCTCCCAATGCCAACAGGTGTGGCTGCTGCAGTCCCCCAAGGCCATGGATGCCAGCCCAGCTGTGACGCCCACTCCTTCCTTTTGTAGAGTTGCCTGGGACAGTGAGAGCATGAGGCACAGCTAATCCGCGCAAGCCTCCAGCCCTGAAGACAAAGGAGGCTGCTTTGAAAATGGCTTCTAAGGTCGTCACCGTGGGGCCTCTCTACCAAGGCCCCGACATCAACAGAATCCCACTAAGGTCACAGCCATCCCAAAAGCCAGCCGTCCCCCCAAAACCCCTGGTCCCCTCCAAGTCCAAACTCACCACGATCGAGGCCAAGAGGATCATGACCGTCCTGGATGAGACCATCTACAAAGTGGAGCTGGTGACGCTGCTGTCGTATGTAGCGTCCAACCCGGAGGTCACAGAGGGGGTCCTGGGGGAGGATGTGGCGGCCATGATCCGAGAGCACCAGGACCTCTGTGAGCTCCTGCTGGACGCTGCCAGCCACCTGCAGGAGCAAGAGCAGCAGCTGCTGCAGGAGGAGGACGAGGCCGAGGGCGAAGGCTGGCTGCAAGCCCGCCGCTCCTCCCTGGAGATGCAGAAGGCCAGCCTCCTGCCGCTGCTGCAGCAGATCCGAGACTCCACCAGGAACGTGCTGAGGGTCCTGCTCAGCAGCCCCCAGGTCGCCAGCTTCCTGCAGATGCAGACACAGGGCCGCAGCGCGGAGGCTCAGTCGTTCATCGACAACCTCCTGGAGCTCCGGGGTTTCCTGTTTGAGAAGCTGCTCACCAGCCCCATGGAAGCAAGGGAGAAGGCCCAGTTCATCCAGGACGTCAGCAGGCGCAACCGGAGGAACCAGGAGATGATCGACATTCTGGAAAACGAGCTGGCAGTGGGGATGAAGAGGAGGAAGGCAGAGGTACCGTTTGCTGGGATCGGGATTGGGCGGGGTGCTGAAGGAGCCGCGTCCCATGGCTCCAATCTTGACGTGGTTGGGGTTTCCATTCCATGATTTAAACAGCCTTTCCCCCATTCATTTGCTCCAAGGTTAAGCCTATGTGGTTGCGGCCTTGTGGCATTCACAGTGGAGAAAGCAGTTATAGAAGAAGTCATTTAGTTACAGTCTTGAGAAGCACAGGGTGCTGGAAGAGGGGCTCACGGGAGAAGCTGGTCCCCGAGACCCAAAAGGCCAGGGACATTGAACCCAAGGCTCGAAGCAGGACAGCGGAGAGGGCTAGGAAAGTGAGGTAGGGAATACCCTCCAAGCCAAGGATGACAAACTTGGTGAATACTGTGGGCTTTCTGAACATTGCAGCAATCCATGTAACTACTCAACTCAGCCCGCCATGCTGGCAGGAATGCAGCCACGAAACAATGTTCCCGGGCTGCCTGGAGTTGGCCCTGGCATGCTGGCCCGCATGCCAGGTGGAAGGGAATCCGCAGGGCTGCATCCTAAGCCCCAGGGGCTGGAAGCTGGCAGGAAGCAACAGAGGTGGCCTGGGAAGAGGGCGGGAGAGGGATCAGCAGGGCCTCTGAGGCCAGGTAAAGGATCAGTCTACCCCAAGACCAAGGTGGAAGATCTAGGAGAATTATTTTAAAAGGACATAATGGCAGTACCAAGCCTTCCCCCTAACCCCAAAAACCATCAACTGTGACACGTGCCGTGCAGTACGCCTTCCCCACATTTTCTAGAATCCCAGTAAGGCGGCAGAGTAGGAGTTGTTGAGCTGCTGTCCCAAAAACACTGAAGGAAGGGTTGCCCAAGTCACAGTGGAAATGGTTTTCTGGCTGGTGACTGCTCTGCTTTGCCAGTGGCCGGGGATCTGGTCTTCCGCCGTTCCCCCAGGGAGGCTTCTAACAGCGGGCTGACGTGGCTGCCCCAGCTTTCCCTGCAGTGCTGTTGCTGGTTTGGCCAGTGGGAAGGGAAGGAAGGGGAGAAGGCTGGGTCCTGCTCCTTAAGGGATGCAGCCCAGAAGCTGTGTCCCTCACTTCCATGCACGCCTGGTAGAGAAGCTGCTGAGGGGGCTAATCCGCGGACTCTGAGGAGGGCAGATCCCGTCACACCGCCACAGGCCGCCACGGGCACTCCCATTCGATCTGCCACCACAGATGGGGGCATCCAGGTCCCCACTCCCATGCTGTGGCTCAGGTACTTCTCACTGACTGCGTCCTTTAAGCCATTCGTCACATTTTGTTTGTCACAACTGTCTGGTTATTTGACTGGGTCTGGTTTCCCACCAACAGACAAGGGTCCTTGTCTCTGGGTCCCCATCACTGTGTCCCCATTCAGAGGACAGAGAGAGAGGCCAGCCATCAGACCTCAATCAGGGGAGGTCACTTCCAGGTTGGAGGACACTTCACTGTTGGGACAGGGACAGACCTGCAGGTGGCTGTATTGGTTCTGTTCGGTGGTGGAACCAGTGCGGGCCTCCAGGTGGGACTGACCTGGGGGTCACATTCCACTTTCATCATGTGGCTGAATCCCCGTGTACCATGAAGAGGCAGCCATGGTCAGCCCCACGGTGGTGACACTGCAAGAAAAGCTCTGACCTGCAGGGGTGTGTCCTCATGGAAGACCTTGTTCCCCTCTTCCTCGCCTGGCCCATCTCATAGGTCCCTCCCTCTCTGCCCACGGTGTGTGCCAAGCGAGCTCCAATCCTGTGGGTCCCCTGGCCCAGCCTGAGGCTGCCAGGCAGGAGCCATGCCCTACAACACTGAGCACAGAGGGAGAGCAGCGTTTGCAAGAAGCCGGTGGGGTACACGTATAACCCACCCCGTGCTCCCATTCCTGACCCTCAAGGGGCAACCCAGTAGCGATCCCCGTGGCGGGTGTTTCTTTCATACCTTCCAGCCTTGTGCCGTGCCAGCAGGTCCCTTGCCTACTGTGTCCTGGGTGGAAGGTCACTGTCATCCCAAAGCTCTCCTGCAGCCTCCCTCTGGTAGGCCCATGCCAGGAACTGGAAGGTGCTGGCCAAGAACCTGGGTGAGATAAACTTGGCTTTACATCCCAGCCCTGTGACATGACCCCAGACACAACAGTGCTGCCTTCTAGAGCCTCACCCCGCCCACCTGTCACAGGGCCAGGGCGTGGGCTTCGGCAAGGTGCAGGGGGGCCCTGACGGAGCCCCACTTCTTCCTGCCCAGGTGGAGAAGGAGAACTTCGTGATCCAGGAACTGAAGAACCACTTGCACCAGGTGCTCAAGTTCTCGGAGAACAACCTGGCGCGCATCAAGCAGGAAGCCGAGAAGCAGCAGAAGGCAGACGCGCGGGCCTCGCAGGCCAGGCTGGCCAAGATCCAGCAGGACATTCTGCTGCTGCGCATGCAGTTCAACAACCTGGTCACCGAGAACCGGGAGGCAGAGCAGGCGCTGAGGAAGGTGCCCTGGGTGCTGGGCCTCGAGGGACTGGGCAGGGCTGGCTGAGGAAGGGGAGGAGGGCACTGCAGCAATAGGCAAAGCCCAAACTAAAGTGCCCATCCATCTCTGGGAAGGTCGGGAGGGTCTGCACGAGAGCGCCCTCCTGGCCTCCATGGTCACAGCTGGAAATGACAGGGACACCACCAGGTTTGCGGACAGATCTAGAATTCTATCCCGGCACCCATATGGGCAGCCAGGATCCGAGGTTTGAGACGTTAGCTTCTGCCCCCCAGGGTGCGTGAGTAGGGAGCTGGAGGGGCAGTAGGTACTGCGAGAAGGGATGTGGGCATCAAACAGCCTGCTCCCCTGGGGTGTCAAGTTTAAGGAGTCGCTAGTAGAATGTACTGACAGGGTGAGCAGGCAAAGCTGGCACACAGCAGGCATCCTATAAGTGCTGTTTCTTTGTCCTCATCCTGAGCCGAGACTCCAGCCCAACGCAAGCCAGCTTCCCAGTCTCTCACCTAGAGACCACCTGTGTCCACTATCATCAGTGTCACAGCTAGAAGCCCTGGGCCTGTGCCCCAGAAAGCAACCTTGGCTGTACATTTCTACCCCTGGGGGGCAGGTCACAGCCTTCTGAAGCCAGCCCCCTACCCTGCCATGGCGGCCCAAGTGGGAAAGCTCTGGCTCCTGTGGAGAAGGGGCTGGTGGATTTGTCCTTGGTAGAGATGGCGCCCACCTACTGCCCATTTAGCCACTGGAAAGTGACTGACTCCATGGCTGGGCAGCCCTCACACCATCTGGTGGCCAAGCTCTCATCTCCTGGAAATGAAGCCCCACATCCATCATTCCTGCTTCTCCTCATCCCCCAGTTCCTGGTGACCCCTGACCTGCATCCAACCTCTAGGGATTCATCTATTCCAGACTCTGTACGAAAGGAACCATGCACTGGGTGGCCTCTGTGACTGGCGTCTCTACAGTTCACTGGTGTGTCAGCACTTGCTTCTTCTTGAAGATACATTAATCTTTATTGGAAGGTCAGATTTACAGAGAGGAGAGACAGAGAGAAAGATCTTCTGTCTGCTGATTCACTCCGCAAGTGGCCACAATGGCCAGTGCTGAGCTGATCCAGGAGCCTTTTCCGGGTCTCCCACATGGGCACAGATCCCAAGGCTTTGGGCCATCCTTGACTGCTTTCCCAGGCCACAAGCAGGGAGCTGGATGGGAAGTGGAGCAGCCAGGACTTGAACCAGTGCCCATGTGGTATCCCAGCAGATGCTAGGCAAGGATTTAGCCACTAGGCTACTGTGCTGGACCCTACTTGCTCCATCTTTGTGGTTATATAACCTTCCATTGTATATAGGGGAGCCAACCTTTGAGAAACCAAATTAGACTGTACCTCCCCAGTGTACCTCCATTCACATTGTGGCTCCCTCCCACACACACAGGACTCCAGAGTCGCCTTCTGACACCTCGAAGACACAGCGCCTCACTCCAGCCTCACCAGGGACCGCTCCCCTCCTGGGCATTCCCCCAGCCACTTGGCTCCATTTCTGCTGTTTGAGTACCACAGGGCCTTTGCATCTACTCCCATTCCTTCTCATAAATACTCCAGAGCCAGCCTGCTGACTTCAAATCCAGGCTCTGCCACCCCTTAGCTGCCATCTTAGAAGTGAGTGAGTGAGGTCAGTCTTGTGATGCAATGGGTTAAGCCATGGTTCGCAATGTCGGCATCCCATGAGCACGGATTCAATTCCTGGCTGCTCTGCTTCCCATCCAGTTCCCTGCTCATGTAGCCGGGAAAGCAGCAGACGCTGGCCCAAGTGTTTGGCCCCTGCACCCACATGGGAGACCACATGGGCCAGAGTTCCAGTCTCCTGGCTTTGGCCCGGCCATTTGGGGAGCAAACCAGCAGATAAGAAACATCTCCGGACCTCACCCCTACCCCTGTAAGTCTGCCTTTCAAGCTAAGTAAGTTTTTTTTCAAAGTGACTTGGAATATGGGAGCCTCAGTTTGCTCATCAGAAAGGGAGAAAAGAGAGTCCTCCTGCCGCTCCCCCGCCTGCCAGGTTGAGGGCAAGGCGCGTGAAGGTGGTAGGCGGCTCATGTCATTCCACCCAGCAGTGATCACTGGGTTTTTGTTTTTTTCAGAAAAAGTATAAAGTGGAGACGGAAGTGGAGAACTGGATCCAGAAATATGACACAGAGATGAGTGAGAAGCAGGTATGGGCTGCCCTCGAGCTCGTCCCCAGGTCCTCCAGATGGGAGAAGTCCCAGGACAGCCCTGTTTTGTGCCACGTCCTGAGCTTCCCCAAGAGAGGGACCAGGAGCAGGCCTGCATCTCCGTCCTCCCAGGTCCTCCCTGCACCTGCCTGCACCTGCCGGCTGGTCCAGCCTGGAGCAGAGGAAGGAGCCAGTGGCTCAGACTCCCTCTAGTGTCCACAGGCCATAACTGCAGGCTCTAGCCAGCACCCATGCAGCCTGCGGAGGGGCCCCAGCCAGCTCAGAGGGGGAGCTCCCCTCTACCACGCAGGGCTCGCTCAACACGGTTCCACCGAGCCCCTGAGATGTGCCAGCATCCCGGTGGCAGAGGTGAAGGAAAACAAAATGCATGCTATCATCAGCAGGGATTGAGTGAGACCCAATCGTTGCACACACGTGCATCCCAGGCGGCAGTTGGCCACTGGAGGATGTGCCCAGGGAGGGGTGGCCTACAGATGGGGCGTCATCCCTCATCTGTCAGTCCTCCCCTCACTGGCTAACACCAGTGCACATGGCCCTGGCCTGGGGTCTTGATGGCCTTAGGAGCCCCGGAGGTGACGTTAAACCGAATGGCCCAAGGCCAAGTGTGCGGTTCTGAAGGGTAAAGCAAGACCTCACTCTGTGTGACCATGGGGAACCCAAAGAGGGACCTTGGCAGGCCATGCGCTTGTTTCCCTGGTCTCGGTGAGGGCCATGGGATACCTGCAGGAAGGTACCCCCCCATAGCCAGCTCTGTGTCTCCTGCAACAGGTGCTGGGGAAAGGCTGGGAAAGTATGTCAGTTATAGCAGGGCACCTGCCTTTCACACAACTTTACAACTCTTACTTGATTGAAATGGTTCCTTCTGCTCTGGGTATCTGTGAAGCTGACACCTCCGTTGGCTGCCAGTTCCATTGCCTGGGTGCCTGGGTGCCTGGCACCATGTCTGGCCACAGGCAAACACATGGCCACTTGACCCTGGCGACATCGCCAGCTGTGGAACTGTCCCCATGTTTCCCGGGTTCTAAGCCTGCCTCCTTCACTGTTCCTTTAAGTATTTCAGCAGGCTGCTACCCAGGGATAGGAAGGGCTGGGATGTGTCATCGTGGAGTGGGCGTAGCCCCACCAGGAAGGGGGCGGCGCGTGGACCTACAGACCACGCCCCTACTCCGTCCTGCACGCCTCCCCAGGAGGAGTACGAGGACCTGGAAGTCGTCCACAAGGAGGAGAAGGCCCAGCTAGAGGAGCTGAAGCGGAAGCACGACGTGCTGGTGGAGGAGTACTCCCAGATCCGCACGGAACGCGAGATCCTCTCCAAGAAGAGGATGGAGGCGGAGCACGAGATGGTGCGCATGGTGCGCGCGGCCACAATCATCCAGGCCGTGTGGAAGGGCTACCTGGTCCGCTCCATGCTCCGGTCCAAGAAGAAGAAGCGGGCCAAGGCCAAGGGCAAGGACAAGGACAAAGGCAAGGGCAAGGGCAAGGGCAAAGGCAAGAAGTGAGCCCTGCCCCACACCCGCCCTCCCAGGTGCTCCCACCCAGAAGCAGAGCCTCTTACAAATAAAACCTCCGTCTACCCAGGGCTGCTGCTGTGTGTCGGTGTGTCCAGAGGCCACGTGCAGAGGAGAGGGGCAGGCGCCACAGCCTGGGGGTACAGCGAGGGAACCAGATGGGGAGCCCCAAGCCTACACGTTACAGTTGTGGTGGGGTGTAGGTCACAGCTGCCCGGGGCAGGGGGAGGGGCACACAACTCCCAGATTTGGGACTACCCTTAGCCCAGCTCAGGAATTAACCTCTTAGCCACAACCTCATTCCCTCCCAGCACAGCCCGAGCTCCAATGCAGTCATACACCAGCAGCCACATCCTGGCTCCGCTGGGTGCCAAGGCAGCTGAAGCACTCGCACGCTGGTTAGCTTCCCAAACATCTGGGGCTGGACCAGGCCAAAGCCAGAGCCAGGAACTGTCCCCTACTTCTTCAAATGCCAGCAACTAAGGAAAAACCAGGACAGGACTCACCTCACTCCCTCTGGGCAAGGACCATGATGATTTTGAGTGACTCCAGCCCAGGTCTGGAGGGAACAGCGGCAGAGCAGGGTCAAGTGCGTGCTGGCTGGCCTGCTTGGACCCACCACACTTTGGTTCAGCAGGGAAGCGATGGCCGATATGGCCTCCAGCGCATCAGCAGGGGATCTTGTTGAGGGAACGTCATAGTGCAACACACTTGAAGGCGTGTGGTGTTTCCTGGGTGTTGAGTAGAATGTTCTATGGTACATGACTGTGTTATTTAAAAATGGCATAAGCGTGGCTGGAGCAGGCATTGAGCTCCGTGGTTAAGGCACTGCCTGGGACGCCTACATCCTATCAGAGGGCCTGGGTTCGAGTCCCAGCCCAGCTTCTAAATCCCACCTTCCTGCTCATGTGTGCCCCGGAAGGCAGCAGGCGACAGCTCAGGCACTTGGTTTCTTGGGCCACTGCTCCCCACAACAGGGGAGGCCAGGGCCCAGGCTCCTAGACTTGGCCTGGTCCATCCCTGACCTTCATGGTCATTTGGGCAGTGAATAAAGGGTTCCCTGTCTCAGTAATTCTGGCTTTCAAACAAATCTTTAAAAAAACAAAACAAACTCAGGGAAGTCAGCTGTCCAACCAGTTGGTGGCACGGACTAAAAACCAAGGCAGGAAGAAGCCAGCCTGTTACCGCCTGCCCCTTCCCTGGGTCAACCAACAGTGGGCATCACTTAACTCGATTCTTTTAGTGAACTCGGGTACAATGGCCTGGTTGAGGGGAAAAAATATCACTCATGGCTCTCATGAGCTCCTGATGTATTGAATACATGACTGTTAACATGAGACGCGCTCACCCACATACCACCCACAGAGGCGCCCGTGCCTCCAGACTCCCACCCAGCCCACCCTGAGCAGAGGCCTGGCTGGAAGGGAGGGGGAAGGACACCCCACGCGGGCTACACACGCTGGGCAGCATGACCAGTCTCACGGGATGGAGAGGCAGAAGCCCCTGCATTGGCACTGAGTTGAAGTGTGGCTGACAGCTGGAGAAATGCCCCACAGTACACAGCTTGGAGCGAAGCAGGGAGCAGCGGGGAGGCACGACTGTGCTGGCTCCAGGGGGAGGGGGTAAGGTGGGGTGGGGGCTGCCCAGTCTATCCCTGCCCCAGCCAAACCCCCACGGGCAAAGCTGACAAAAGACCCTCATTTCCACGGAGGCTTTGGTTTCTGGGTAATGCCTCCTGGTCGGGGAGTCGTTGGCACTGAAATGCTGACGGCGAGCGCCCTGGGTGTCACGAGTGGGCTCCGGAAGGTCACCCCCGATGTGGACAGCCTGGGATTCCGAGGCTCACGCGCATCGGGGGTACAGGACGTGGGGTGAGCGGAGTCAGGACCACTGAGACAAGGGAGGGAAGGGGAGCGCGCCCGCCCCTGCAGGCGTGGGGAGCCCACGGGGCCAGGGGACCGCCTTCTGGGCTCTCCCAGCACCCTGGGCTCTGTCCCCGGGGCGGCAGCAGCAGCAGTGGGATGCACTGCTCGCAGTGGGGTCTCCCTGGGGGTGGGTGGTGGCGTCCAGAGGAGTGTATGGAGCTTGGCTGTGCTCCCCTTTGTCGTCCATGAGGTCTGCCAGCTGCTGCCTTCAGGCCGGGGGCCAAAGAGCGACTCGTCGCAGTAAGATGGAGTGTGGCTGATGAGTCTGGGAGAGAAAGGCAGTGAGCTGAGGGGGGCTTCACAGCCCCCGTCCGACATGCAGCAGCAGCCAAGGAGTCCCTGCCATCTAGCTGGGCATCCCAGCTAGGCCATGCCTCACAGGATCTGTCGGCTCCTCCCTGCTACTGTTCCCCCAGTTGGTCTACGGCCATACCACCCTGAACACGCCCAATCCCGATCCACCGGCCCCTTCCCACCTGGACCCCATTCTGCATCCCCCCCCCCTCAAGCCCTGCCTGGCCAATTTGCATATTCCATTGCCTTGCCATGCTGGTTGGCTCAGAAGAGGCCACCTGACCTAGGTCTGCCCTTTGCTGAAGCTACCAGGAAGATGACTTTCTGCCACCTGTGCTTGCTGGGCCGGGGTGGAGATGCAGGGCAGAGGTGCCCTGAGGAGGCAGATGTCCAAGGGCAGCATGAGCCCCAGAGCCCTTGGGCTGCTCTAGTCAGTTCTGCTGTCCCAGTTAGTGTAACCAGAGTCTTTAGTTTTTCCTACTTGCTGGAGTTTTTCATCAGCTGAGCCATGGCCCCTGCTGCTGTGTGGTCCGACTGTGCAAGGCAGAGTCTGCCTGCAGAGGGGTCCATTTGGCAACTGTTACTACTTCTGTTGCTAACCCAGCAAATCTCCCCAGCCTAGCCACTCTCAGCTCTTCCAGCTCACCCTGGGCATGCCTGCGTACCGCCATGCAGTCTTGCTAACTTCCCTCTTTCCCCCACAGCCAAAGCAACCCCCCTGCAAAAAGGGGGGGGGGTGAGAGCCAAGTGGCTCCAAACTAGACACCTCCCTCAAATCCAAGTCACCCAGCAGTAAGCACCACTGCCCACCAGCTTGTCTTTCTAACCTGCTCCTGCAAAGCAGCCAGGCCCACTTCCAGAACTACCTGCCAAATTCGGGCACTCCCACATGGGTCCACCAGGGTCATGGTCTCATGGCCTGTGCGCACTGTCTCAACCTTTCCCCGTATTGGGTTCCCATGCTCCTCCCTCCTTTACCCCTCCCGCCAGTCCCACAAGTGGAGGGTCCCTGGTCCTGTTTCCCACATGGAGATCAGATTGTTCAAGGTGCCTGCCCCAGGTCAGGGTTGGGACTGACCCTCAGGCACCTCTCCCCATCCCATTACCTGTATCTGTTCTTCTTCTTCGGTGTGAGGGTCGAGGTGCTGCCCCCAGACGCTGTGGTCTCACAGTTCCCCCTGGCTGCTGGGGTCCTCGATGTGCCTGAGCCCACCACTGCTCTGGCTGGGCGGGCTGTCTCCACCCAGGGTGGGTCAAAGTCTGGTGGGGGCAGCTTGGTGCCCGCGGGACTGCCAAACAGAGACTCATCCACATAGGACGCCCTGGCCCTGACCCTGACCCGGCAGCGACGCATCCCATTGCCGCTGGCCGGCTCCTCCGGGGGCTTCATGCTGTCCGCAGTCACAGGTGACCATAGGTGCGCCCTGCCTTCCAGGCCCTGCCGCCGGGGCTCCCTGGGAAAGGGGATCAGGGAGCCATGGCTGAGCCAACAGCAGGGCTGGCAGACAAAGGTCCCCTCCCAGGGCCAAGAGGCCTGGCTGCCTCCTTCCCTCTCCCGGGGGAAGGCCAGCTGCCTGCGCCCAGTGGGGGGGGGGGGGCGTTACGGACATTTAGGGGTGTCCTGTCCTGTTGGGGAAAGGAGTGCTGCAGCCCGGAAACAGAAAGAGCTTCATGCCAGCGGGAGACGCAGGCAGTTTTCCACATCCTGAGGGGGGAGACGGGGGACGACCACGGCCGCCACGGACCCTGCGCCTACCTCGTGCAAAGAGCTCAGCAGGCATAGCCTCGCTTCATCCTCTCCAAAGCCCTGGGAAGCAGCTAGGATCCCATCCATTCGCCGGACGGACCCCAAAGCCGAGGCGTCAGAAGGCGGAGCGCCACGTGCGGGTCACACCCGGCCAACTGCAAGGCGGGAGGCACAACCTGAATGTGATGTGCACCCACACACATCGTCACGGAGCCCCTACGCCCACACCCCGTGTCACGCCAGGGGTCTCCTCCTCCCTACCTGAGCACCCCGGCTCGCGGGCGGCCCACACAGGTCGGTGCGCGCTGCATCCCAGGGTTCCGTCGCAGCTCCAACAGCTCGGTCCCGGTGACCCGGGGCAGCAAGGGCACTAAGCGACAGGCGCCCAGCGCGCGCAGCCACCCTGCAACCCAAAGCCGGTCCCAGGCAGCAGGACCTCCCCGGCCAGACCCATCCACACCGCGGGGGGGACGCCGCACTCCATGCTCCCGCTCCCCGAGACACGGACCTGCCGTGCCAGCCCCGGAGCGTGAGCCCGTCGCTGGCCTAGGCGTCCGGCGGCTGCTGGAGCGCGGCGTGCAGCGTCGAGGCCTTCTGTCTTCGTGGCGGGTGCCCAAGGAGCATCCTCCTCCCCCCCGGCCTCGGCTGCACAGTTGGTTCGTCCCACAGGCCACGCCCACTTCCGGGTTCCCTGCGCCGGGGCCCGCATGGCGGCCGGCACGCGCGCGGCGTCCGGAGCGGGGACGCGACCCGCCATGGCCCAGTGGAGGAAGAAGAAAGGGCTCCGGCAGCGCAGGGGCGCGGCCTCCCAGGCCCGCGACAGCGACTCGGAGGACGGCGAGTTTGAGATCCAGGCGGAAGATGACACCCGGGCCCGAAAGGTGGGACACGCGTGGGGGACCCTAGTGGCGGGTCCGGGCAGCTCCCCACGGCCTCAGTTTCCCCAGCTGGGCAGTGGACTGGGCAGAGCGCGTGGGGAAGGCGGCCGGCTTGAACACGCGTCTCGGGGCCTGCCTCTCCCGCTGCTTCCCCGGGGTCGGGCCTGGCCTCCATCGCGTCCCCCTCATTGGCTCCTGCCTGCCCGGGGGACGGATCCGAGTGCCCGTCGGTCCAATGAGAAGTGCGGGTGCCATTCCCACTTGGATCGTTTGGGGCGTTCTCGGGGAGGAGGTCCTGGTGGATGGAGACAGTGGCGTCCCCACGAACAAAGTATTATTATTATTTACAAGATCTTAGCCATGCATGGCTGCGTGCCAGGCTGCAGGCTCAGGGCACAGAATTATCGTTGCATCCTGTTAACCCTCTGGGCCAGCGACTGGCACCCTCGTTTCCCGGTAGCAGTAGCTTCTGAATAGTTTTGGGACCAAAGCCTGTAACCTTGGCATGATGGAGGGACAGGTGTGAAGATCTGCCATCCTCCCAGGCCAGGTCTCACAGCTGGCAGAGAGAGAGGCCCAGGCCGTGCCTCTGCAGGGCATGCCGGGGGCATCTGCCCTGGGCCCTGCTCCTCCCTGCTGACCTGGTCCACCCACCAAGAGTGACGCAGCCCCTGTTGATTCTTCCTAGCCGGGCCCCAGCCGAGCCCTGCCTACCTTTCCCAGCTCGGAGTGCGCCTCGGACGTGGAGCTGGACACCCGGCAGATGGTGCGGGCCCAGCAGAGGAAGAAGAAGTCGGGGGGCTTCCAGTCCATGGGTGAGCCGGCCAGCCAGTGGGGCCATGCCCCGTGTACCACAACATCCCAGCCCTCGTCTTGTGACCTTCTGAGGGTTCCGGGGGGGGCAGGTGTTGTTGGGGATATCCACTTTCCACCTCAGAGTGCTTGGGTTCGAATCCCAGCTGTACCTGAGGTTCCGGGTTCCTGTTAGTGTGGGCTTTGAGGGACAGCCATGGTGACTCATGGAGCTGGGCGTCCGCCACCCAAGTTCCCAGCTTTGGCCCCCCGTCCAGCTCATACATCTTGTGCCCAGATCGGAACGCAAATAGGGTTGGCCGTGGGCAGGTGCGTCTCCCCAAGTGCCGGCTAGCCTTTCTGTTCCATGGCTGCTCCCCTCTGCTGTTCATTTGTGCCCGGTGACCCTGACGGCTGCCGTGTCTCCAGGCCTGAGCTACCCCGTGTTCAAGGGTGTCATGAAGAAGGGTTATAAGGTGCCGACGCCCATCCAGAGGAAGGTAAGGGTCTCTTGGCAGCCCTCGGAGCCCACCCACTGGGAGACCTCCTGCTGCTGAGCCCCTGCCCACATGCCTTGTCCCTCTGGGTGCATGCTGGTGTCCTCAGACGGGGTTCTGGGAAGGCGCCGGTCAGGAGGTTGAGCCGGAGTCACCCCAAGGATGGGGCCTGTGGGGATAGGATCAGGGACCCTCCCTCTGTATCCCCGTACCCCTGCAGACCATCCCCGTGATCCTGGATGGCAAGGACGTGGTGGCCATGGCCCGCACGGGCAGTGGCAAGACGGCCTGCTTCCTCCTGCCCATGTTCGAGCGGCTCAAGGCCCGCAGTGCCCAGACTGGGGCCCGTGCACTGGTGCTGTCGCCCACCCGGGAGCTGGCCTTGCAGACCATGAAGTTCACCAAAGAGGTGGGCCCTAGCAGCGGGCAGCTGAGGGGTTGGGGTGCCCAGGCATGAGCTCCAGCAGCCCCCCTCACCCTCTCCCTGTGTCTCCACAGCTGGGCAAATTCACCGGCCTCAAGACGGCCCTGATCCTTGGAGGAGACAAGTAAGATCCCTGCCCCGTGGCTCTCATGGGCACCGGGCTGGTCAGCAGTGCCTGCACATAGCCACTGTCCTGGATGCCCAGGGGTGTGTCATATGTGCACAGAAGCCAAGGTGTCCACCATGCCTGAGGACACGGTGGAGCTGGGACCTGGCTCCAGTCTGCCCTGGTCAGGACAAGGGCACATGGTGGCAGAGGGGCCTGGGTGGCAGTCTAACCTGGCTGATGCAGGCAGTGTTCATTGCTGGGGCATCATGGGCAGCTCCGCTGCTGTGGAGTAGGAGGGGGGATCTGGGGTGACCCCGTCCTCTGAGCACCCTTGCTTGTCACAGTTCTGTGTGATTCCACTTGCGTCTCCTGTTGGAGCAATGCCTTTGCCTAGTATTTCAGCACTAGCTTTCCCTCTCTGGTCAGTGTTCTTTGGGGTGAGGGTCAGAGCTCAGCTTGGCACTTGGTTGTGGGAAGGGAGAAACTACAGAGCCTGTTCTGTCCCCCAACTCCCCTCCTCTCCCCTCCCCAGAATGGAAGACCAGTTTGCGGCCCTACACGAGAATCCCGACATGTGAGTGTGTGGAGCAGGGGTGAGGGCTGGGGTCTGCCCCCAGGTGGCCGGGGGGGACAGGGCCCGGTGGTGGGTGACTCGGCCATTGCACCCCTGGCAGAATCATCGCCACCCCAGGGCGGTTGGTGCACGTGGCCGTGGAGATGAACCTGAAGTTACAGAGTGTGGAGTATGTCGTGTTTGACGAGGCCGACAGGTGAGGGGGCTGCACGGGAGCCCGGCGCCAGGGCCCCTGGCTGGGATTGTCTGCAGGATAAATCGCAGAGGACTCGGGCTGGGGCAGAGCCTCGCCCTGCTGCCTCTGCCAGCGGGCTGGAGCGGCCACTGGGGTCTCCGAGGCCCGGCTTCCTCCGTCACCCATGGATGGGTGGCCTCATCATGCGCACGGAGCCGAGCCTAGCACACAGTGAGGGCTGCTCATGCTTGTTCCGGCCTCTCCTATCTATGAGATGACTTACTTCAAAGGCACTGACAGAGGCAGTGTGCCTCCCAAATGCCCAGGGCCAGGCCAGCGCCCAGAGTCTGGAACTCCATCTGGGTCTCCCACATGGGTGCAGGGGCGCAAAGTACCTGAGCCATCTTCCCACCGCTTCCTGGGCAGGTCAGCAGGGAGCTGGATGGGAAGGGGAACAGCTGGGACTGGCAGTGGCGCTCCCGCCTGCCATGGGGTGACCAGGGGTGTCAGCCTGCTGTGCCATCAGGAGCCCTCTCCTCCCCGGCCCGCTCAGGCTCTTCGAGATGGGCTTTGCTGAGCAGCTGCAGGAAATCCTCGGCCGCCTCCCTGGGGGCCACCAGACGGTGCTGTTTTCCGCCACACTGCCCAAACTGCTGGTGGAGTTTGCTCGGGCAGGTGAGTGGGCTGGGGGCCACTGACTCGGGGTAGGGAGCCCAGGGTGATGCGTTGTAGGGTGGGGAAGGGGTCTTGCCCTCAGAGACCCCCGATCCTGTTCCTTCCACAGGCCTCACGGAGCCTGTGCTCATCCGCCTGGACGTGGATGCCAAACTCAACGAGCAGCTTAAGGTGAGGCTGGGCCTGCCCCCGTTTCCCTGGCGGGCCTTGCAGCTCCTGGGGACCCGCACTGCCCACCCTTCTCCCTACAGACTTCCTTTTTCCTGGTGCGTGAGGACACCAAGGCCGCCGTGCTGCTTCACCTGCTGCGTAACGTGGTGCGGCCCCAGGACCAGACGGTGGTGTTTGTGGCCACGAAGCACCACGCAGAGTACCTGACTGAGGTGGGCAGGGTCTGGCTGGGGCGGACCCCGGGGGACCCTGCCTGTAGCACCTTCTTCTCCATCTGGAACCTTGCCCGCAGTTCCACGTGTGGCCACCAGAGGGAAGCACCAGAATGGGACACAGGGCTTCAAGGCTATTTTTGTTTAGTTTTTTTTTTTTAACAGGTTCGCTAGGGTCCATAGACACAATTCTAAGAATATAATGATTCTTTCCTTGCCCACTCCCACTGTCTATTCAATTATTTATTATGAAAAAGACATACTAACTTGGTGAAATTGTGTCTTGGAGTGGGTGTTTAGCTACTGGTCAACATGCATTTGATTTGATTAAATTGATTCATTGTGGCAGCCGTTGTCTGAGCTCCCTGGCACCAGCTCGTGCCCAGCAATCGTCCGTCTTCCCCTCCTGCCCAGGCCAGTGGGCACCCTGCCAGCCTGTTCTTATTTTGTATGGTAGATTTTCAGTGTCCAGTATGGCTTTGTTTTTTGTTTTGGAGTTTTTTTTTTTTAAACCCTGTGTGCAGTGAGCTGTGGGAAGGCCCAGGTCATGTGGAGCAGCCCAATGCGTTTGCTCAGCTGCATGGTCCATGTGGCCTTTGGCCAGACCAAAGCCAAGGGAGGCACTGTGCCCAGAGCCTGTGCCCGCCCCCACCCCTTTGCCCCGTCGGGCAGCCACCTGAGGGCTCATGTCACAGGTTCCACTCAGTATGCGTTCACGGTGTGTCCTCTGCGTAGCCATGGGGGCTGCCGTGGTGCCCGGGGTAACAGCTGCAGAGGGGCATTGCGGAGTATCCACCACACTACACCTCTGTGCATCCATCCAACCCTCTCACCTAAGCACATGGGGCCAGCGGTGTCCCATTCTGCAGACAAGGAAGGCGAGGCATGGGCTAAGCTCCCGCCACAAGTCTAATGGACCTGAGGGAGCCGTGGCACACAGCATCTCCTTTGCCACTGGACTTTCCTGTGGGGCGGGAAAATCCAGTGGGGTTGGGGTCTCCTGGTCCTGGCCCAAGTGATCTTACCACCCCGCCATCCTTGCTCCATCTGAACAGCTGCTGACGGCCCAGGGCGTGAGCTGCGCCCACATCTACAGTGCCCTGGACCAGACGGCCCGTAAAATCAACCTGGCCAAGTTCACGCACGGCAAGTGCTCCACACTCATCGTCACGGACCTGGCCGCCCGGGGCCTGGACATCCCCCTGCTGGACAATGTCATCAACTACAGCTTCCCTGCCAAGGGCAAGTTGTTCCTGCACCGTGTGGGTAAGCAGCCCCCTCGCCACCCTGTGCGCCCCCGGCTCGTGCCCCCCATCTCCCGGTCTGCTGCCTGGGTCCTGCCCAGTGCAGTCTCACAGCCACCCCCCTGGAGCTCTGTCCCATCAGGGCCCTGCTCTGTCCTTGCTTGTGAGAGGATTGTCATCGTGGCGCAGTGGAACAAGCCAGCACTTGTGACACCCGACCTGAGCGTCGGGATGAGTTCCAGCTGCTCCATGTTCAATCCAGCTCTGTGCGGATGGGCCCAAGACAGCAGCAGAGGCTGGCCCAGTGCTCAGGCCAGCGTGCGTCGGAGACCCGCGTTAAGTGCCCAGCGCCTGGCTGTGGCCTGGTCTGGCACCAGCTGTTGAAGCCATCTGGGGAATAAAGCAATGGATGGAAGACCTCTCTCTCCTTCTAAGTTACTCTTCCTTTCAAATTATTTTTAAAAACAAAACAAAAAAATTTTTTAAAGTTTTTTTTAATCGCAAAGTCAGATATGCAGAGAGGAGGAGAGACAGAGAAGATATTCTGTCCGCTGATTCATTCCCCAAGTGGCCGCAACAGCCAGAGCTGAGCCGATCTGAAGCCAGGAGCCAGGAGCTTCTTCCAGGTCTCCCACATGGGTGCAGGGTCCCAAGGCCTTGGGCCGTCCTCGACTGCTTTCCCAGGCCACAGGCAGGGAGCTGGATGGGACGTGCAGCAGCTGAGACATGAACTGGCGCCTTTAGGGGAGGATTAGCCAATTGAGCCATTACGCCAGGCCCACCAAACAAAAATTTCTGAGAGAGGTAGGGACGAAGGTGCCACCCGTGGCTCATTCCTTGGTGATCAGCAGCTGCAGTAGCAGGAGAGGCTGGGCCGGGCCAAGTCTGGGAGCCAGGAACGTAACCCAGGTCTCCTACATGGGTGGACAGGATGCAGAGAACCTGGGCCATTCGCTGCTGCCGGCCAGCTCTGCCACGGCCGGAGCTGGAGTTGGCAGGCAGAGCCAGGAAACAAGCCCAGATGCTGTGCGGGGGTCCTGGGGGTCTTGGTGGCCAGCCGCACAGCCATCACTGCAGTTTGTTGAAAAGCCTGTGCGTTACTTGGGCTGTTGTAGTGAAATCGCACAGACAGGGTTCCCCTGCGTGTCTTGCCTCTGCAGGCCCAAGTGTCCTCCGTGCTGCGGGTCGGGGGCCATGTGTGGTCTTCGTGGTCTCTGCTCTCAGCTTCACACTGCCAGCCCACTCCTGCATGCTTGCACTCCCTCCATCCTTCTTGCCACATCTCTGTCAGTCCCCAGATGTCCCCTCTGTGTCGGGTGCAGGTGTCCACCCTCTGGGGTGGCCTCATCTCGGCTGACGAGGCCGACAGTGACCCTGGGTCCAGCCAAGGTCGCGTTCTGAGGCGCCAGGGCAGATGGTGGCAGGGGAGGGGACTCAGTGCACCCACTGCTTATCTGTGTGCACTGGGAGAACCAGAAAGACGAGCATGGCTGCCAGAAGGCACCGGGCCAGGGCCTGGTTCCCACTTGGTGGCCACAGCCCTGTCACCACAGCAGGCGCCAGCCACAGAGCAGGGCCGGGGGTCATGGCCCATGTCCCCACGGCTCCCCAGGGAACTTACTCAACCCCACAACCCACGGCACAGGGCAGGGACTCGTCAGTCTCCAGGTGACAGACTAACCCAGCGCGAACCACGTGGGTCCACACAGCTGGACACAGCAGTTTTGATGTGAGCTCTTCCTGTTGTCACCCTGTCCCTCCCGTGGTGCTTGGCAGTGAGCACCTAGGGCTCAGTAGGCCGCTCTGCATGCCATTCAGGTGAACCAGCAAGCAGGGCTGGGTGCCAGTAAAACTTTATTTGCATAAACAGGCAGGGGCCTAAGCTGTGTGGTCACCCCGCACACAGCTCTGGTGTTGGGTTGGAGATCTTCCACTCAGCAAAAACCTGACCATCCCTTCCATAGGCCGCGTGGCCCGGGCCGGCCGCAGTGGCACAGCCTACTCTCTGGTGGCCCCAGACGAGCTCCCCTACCTGCTGGACTTACACCTGTTCCTGGGCCGCTCCCTGGCTCTTGCCTACCCCAGTGAGGAACCCGCAGGTGAGTGGAGGGCGGAGGGCATGGAGGCAGGACACAGCCTGTCCAGGCTCTGGGAGGGCTCAGAATTCCATTCAGCCGCAGAGCCCTGGGCACAGCCCCTGCTGTGGCTGGTCACACCCTGTTTCCAGGCACTCGGCGTTAATTGTCGTGGCTGCTGGCTGCTGCTGTCCTTGCCAGCATTTCTATTGTAGCTGAGTAGTTTTCTTAAAAGACTCATTTTAATTTTATATATTGGAAAGGCAGAAATGATGGGGGGAGAAATCTTCCATCCACTTCCATTTGGGTTTACTCCTCGAATGCCTTTGCAGCCAAGGCTGGGCCTGCCCAGAGCCATCATCTGGGTGACATGGGTGGCATGGGCCCAAGCGCTTGGGTCATCCTCTGTTGCCTTCCCAGGACCATTAGCAGGGAGCTGGATGAGAAGCAGAGCAGCCAGGACCTGAACCTGCGATCTGATTAGGGATATTGGCTGCTGGGCCACAACGGCAGCCCTGTCACTGTTTCCTTGGCTTGGGGCCTGGGGGCGGGGTAGGGGGCAGTCATGGGGGTCAGAGGGCAGCCTGTGACCAGGGCGCTGCGTGGGCTGGCAGGGGACGACGGCGTGCTGGGCCGGGTGCCACAGAGCGTGGTGGACGACGAGGACTGCAGCCTACAGCACAGCCTGGAGGCCAAGCTGGAGCTGAGGAGCCTGGGCCGTGTGGCCGACAACGCACAGCGCCAGTACGTGCGCTCGCGCCCCGCGCCCTCGCCCGAGTCCATCAAGAGGACCAAGGAACTGGACCTGGCCGCGCTGGGCCTGCACCCGCTCTTCAGTGAGTCCGGTGCCCAGGGCCGGAGGTGGGCAGGCAGCGGGGCAGGGCCTGGGCTCACACTGCCCTCTTGCCAGGCTCACGCTGCCAGCAGGAGGAGCTGCAGCGCCTACAGCTGGTGGACAGCATTAAGAAGTACCGTGCACGGACGGTGAGTGACCGCCACGGCTGGGCCGGGTTAGAGCTGCACTCTGGGCCCCAGGCAGCCCCCAGCCCTGGTTCTGTGTGCCCCTCAGAGGAAGCCCTGGCACCATCACTCACTGCGGGGCAGGCAGACTCAGGGCCGTGGGGCTGAGACGGGACAACATGCCCTTGGCCAGCAGAGGTCTGCAGGTAGCCAGTGTCGTGAGTGGTGTTCTTGGGAGCCCCAGCTTTCTCCGGCTGCGTGGCCTATGGCAGGTAGCTTGCCCTCCTCAGCCTCCCTTCCTAACTGCCCTGCAGATGCCACCAAGTGTGCCCATCAGGAATGCCAGAGCTCCCCCAGCTGGGGGCGGGGTGGGTGGCCCGCAGGCAGAGTTCCTGAGTGTGCCCTCCGCAGACCATCTTTGAGATCAACGCCTCCAGCCGGGACCTGAGCTGCCAGGTGATGCGCGCCAAGCGACAGAAAGACCGCAAAGCCATTGCCAGCTTCCAGCAGGGGCGACAAGAGCGGCAGGAACAGCAGGAACGCCCAGCCTGCCCTGCCCCGCAGCAGGAGGAGGAAGGGGAGGAGGAGGATACAGAACAGGGGGTGGAGGTACTGCTGCTCTCTGGGGAGATGGGAGTCCAGGCGCCCCACAGGGCTGTCCCCAGAACAATACAGATGGGTGCGTGTAGGTTTGGAGTCCCACCTTGGCTGCTCAGAGAAGCCATGACTGAACCTGGCTTCCGATGTGCTGTGGCGGGGCCTGGTTCGTGTTCCCATCCCTTATCTAAAACCCCGAGCCCAGGGGTGTTTGGAGCCCGGAACCTGCAGGGTGTGGGCACCCAGTGTGAGGTGACACCCCTCCGCCAGGGGCCTTGGCATCCCGTTCCATGCCACAAACTGCCCAGGGCTGCAGCTCCACCTCCCGGGCATCCAGCAGGGTTGGCTGTGTCAGGTGTCTGTCCCAGCACACTCCTGGGAAGGGACAGAGGAGGAAGGGCTGGCGGCACTGGGTCCTGTGCAGGAAGGCAGGGTTCTTGGATGTCCCTGTTGTACCTGCCTGGTGGGTGGGCTGCTCAGGGGCCAGCCACCTAACGCTGGACCCCGGTGTGCCAGACCGTCTTCGCCGAGGTCGTGGGCCGGAAGCGACGTCGGCCAGGACCCAACCCGGGAGCCAAGACCAAGAGACGGAGGGAGGAGGCCTGGCAGCGAGAGCAGGAATTCTACGTCCCCTACCGACCCAAAGATTTTGACAGCGAGCGGGGGTGAGTGGCCAGCCAGGGCCCAGTAAGCAGGTGGGGTCGGCTGGGCCCCAATATCCCTGGTCATGTCTGTCCCTGCCCTGCAGCCTGAGCGTCGGCGGGGCCGGGGGAGCCTTCGAGCAGCAGGTGGCTGGGGCTGTCTTGGATCTGATGGGGGACGAAGCGCAGACCCTGACCAGGACTCAGCAGAGACTCAAGTGGTGAGTGAGCCAGGCCCCGTGGTGCTGCCCTCCGTCTGGCCGCACGCAGTGAGGAGCCTGACCCGGCTATCCTTGCTGCTGGGTGGGCACCCCAGTGCCAGGGGCAGGGGGGCGGGGTGCCGTGTATCCAGCACCTGCTGCCTTCAGACTGCCATGACAGAGGGGAAGCTGGCCCCAGGTGCAGTCGCCGCAGCCTCCTCAGCTCCACCTCCCGCAGGGACCGGAAGAAGAAGCGGTTTGTGGGCCAGTCAGGACAGGAGGACAAGAAGAAGATCAAGACCGAGAGTGGCCGCTACATCAGCAGTTCATACAAGCGGGACCTGTATCCAGGAGGGCGGGGCAGGGGCGGGGCCTAGGCTTTGGCCACAGCTCCTATTGGTGGGGCAGCCGGGGTGGGTGGGGCCTCCGAGGGCTTCACTGATGCTGCCCAGAGCCCTAAGGGTCCTTAACGCAGCTCCCCAGCTACAAGAAGTGGAAACAGAAACAGAAGATCGATGATCGGGACTCGGAGGAAGAAGGGGTGTCTGACCGGAGAGGCCCAGAGCGAAGGGGCAGAAAGCAAGGTCGCAGCCAAGGTGAGGGCAGGGCAGGGCCGTGTGGCCACCTCAGCGGGAACCCAGGCACGTGCTTCCCCTCCCGGGGCTGTGTCCGGGGCTCTTTGGGGTGCCTTAGCCCCTGTGTGTCTGCCTGCATCCCCCCACCCCCACCGGGGGCTGAGCTTTGCTTCTTCCTGTGTGCTTGGGTCTGCTGGCTCGCTCGCTCTCTGCTCATGTTTCTACTCTGGGAGGAACTGGCACTGAACACGAACAGCCTGGGGGCCTCTGGGTCCACCCAAAGCCTGAGCTCCCTGAACCCCGTGTCCCTGCAGGTGCATCCCAGCCGCGCGCCCCAGGCGGCCCCAGCGGCCGCGTGCGCTCCGAGCTCAAGACCAAACAGCAGATCTTGAAGCAGCGGCGCCGTGCACAGAAGATGCGCTTCCTGCAGCGTGGGGGCCTCAAGCAGCTCTCAGCCCGCAACCGCCGCCGGGCCCAGGAGCTGCGCCAGGGCGCCTTCGGCCGCGGCGCCCCCTCCAAGAAGGGCAAGATGAGGAAGCGGATGTAGGCTGGGACCGGGGCTGGACAGCAGCAGGCGGCCGTGGTGCAGCGGCCTTGCAGGTCCCTGTGCGGGGGTGTTCAGAGTGGTGATGGGGGTCTGTGTACTCCCTGGAGAGACGCTGGACTATGGTGCTGGAGCTGCCAGTGCAGCGGCTTCCCCGTGGTCCTGGCCACGGCACTCTGAGCCCCAAGTTCTCAGGTCAAGGGCGGAGTTCACTTGGAATAAACCTTTGCTGAGCGCCTCGGGCAGTGCAGGAGTGCTCTCTGCTGGGGCGCGGGGGGTCCCAGCGATCCTGTAAGGGTGTCGGGTGGGAATACACCCTGTGCTGGCCTCCCGGGTGCCCCATAGTTGCCTCTGCGGAGGAGGTGAGTCACCCATTGGAGCTGGCCAGCTGACAGATGCCACCACGGGGTGGAAGGGCGTGGCTGCCCTGAGCCCAGAGGTCACAGCCTGACTGCCCTCTGGTTCCCATCCTACTCCCCACCCCCCTGTGGGTTCCATGGGCAAGGGTGATCCCTGCCTGCTGAGCTCCCAGGACGGGCCAGTCCCGAGCAGGGCACTCATTTGGAATCTGCCGAGTGCTGAGTGTCAGTGACTACTGTTTATGCAATCGTTTATTCGAGATGTAGGCAGCTCACCCCCTCGCCACCCCTTTAATTCATTCGCTCATTCTCCACACGCCTGCAACTCCCCAAGCCGGGAGCTGAAGCCAGGCACCGTCAACTCCATCCGGGTCGCCCACCTTGTAGCAGGAACTTGTCACAGGAGTCATCACCACTGCTGGCCAGGGTCTGTGTTCACAGGAAGCTGGAGCCCTGAGCTGGCCCCGGGTGCTGCAGTGAGGATGTGGGCATCTTAACTGCTAGGCTAATCCCTTGGGGGGTGCTGGCCCCATGGCACTCGGGCAAGCCTCCCCAGCCCCGCCCACCTGGGTTGGGGCCAGCAAGCAGGGGCTGCACCTCGGCCTGCGCAACACGGGCCAGTGTGGCTGCAAGGCCCAGGATGAACAGCTTCACCTGGGGACAGACACAGGAGTTGCAGCCCCCGGCTCCTGGGAGGTGGTGAAGCAGCGGTCAGGGCTAAAAGCCCTATACCCAGAGGCCGTGGGCCGGGTGCGAGGCTATTCAGGACTCAGGAGACTTCCTGTGGGCCGCTGTCCCTGTCTTTGTGCCAGACCCGTCAGCTGGCCCATCAGCTGGCCTGTGACCTACTCTAGTCTTGCAGGCTACCCAGCTTTATTAAGTTCATTAACTCATTGGGTGATAATAATGAACTTGATGAACACCCAGGGGACCCCCTGCCCAGTGTTGGCAATGGAGGGTGGGGTTGCATCTGTCTCCATCAGAGGTGGCAAAAGGAAACTCGCCACCTCTCATCAGCAGAGGGGAGCTGGGAGAGTAACATGACCCAGTTAGCTGCCAACTCCAGGCAGCCCCTGTGGCCTGCAGGGGACCAGGGAGTGTATGTGCGTGGCAGGGGTGGGGGTGGCACTCCCATCAAAGCCTTTTTCTCCAGCAGGGGCAGAGGGCTGATGGCCAACTGCCTTGTGTGCCACCTGAATCCTGTATCTTTCCTGAGGTTGACTTACATCTCATCAAGTCCCCCAGGCCACACTTGGGGGGGATGGAGGCAACAATGAAGTTGACCAATGCAGGCATTTAGCTGGAACCCTGACTGGAACTGGGTGAAGGATTGGGGAGGGGGAGCCCTCTACATCTCAGAGGGGCTCTGCTTCAAGACACAGCACAGGTATGTGGGGTCTGGAGGCCCTCCTTCCAGCTTGAGCCAGTGTCGCACGTTCCACAGCCTTGCAAACCAGAAGAGATCATGGTGCAGGAGGGCAGGCCAAGTGCAGCCCCCTCCCCACACCCCTGTCCTGCTCCTTAGGGATCCAGGAGGGTTAAGGGAGAATTATAAGCCAGCCCCAGCCGATGCCAGCAAAGAAGGGCACGTAATGACAATGTGGATTTGTGACCTGTGACCATAAGCAGGACTCCCAGGCAAGGGCCCTGACCACTGAGAGTCACGCGTGGCCCGGAGAAGGCACCTCCTGCTTGCAGGAGATCACGGTGGTCTTAGAAGGGACCTCACATGCTCCAGCTGCCCCTCTGTGTCCTCTACGTCCAGAGTCGGAGGTTGCCTCTGGTGCTGACACACAGCCTGGAAGAGGTTGAGCGCCGCCATCCTGGTGCGGCCCAGGAGCAGGGTCTTTGCAGCGGCTGTGTTCTGGATCTGGATCCACTTAGATTCCTAAGAATCCCCCCCGAAACACACATAGTTAAGACAGAAACGGACTCCAGAGGGTGGGGCCAGTAGCACCTGCCGGCCATGAGCCGCGCTCCAGGCCATCTCCCCAGCACACACCTGCCCGAGACCTTACCCACTGCAGCGTGCGCTCCCGCGCCGCCTCTAGCCGCTCCTGCAGCTGTGCGCGCCGCTGGCCCTGCCCCAGCAGCTCGTTCTGCCAGGCATCTCGCAGCCGCTGCAGTTGCGCCCGGGCTGCGTTCAGCTCGGCCAGCCGCTCGCGCGCTGTGAGCCTCAGAGCCGCCTGCGTGTCGGCCAGGCCGTCGAAGCGCGCCACCAGCTCGGAGACCTCCTGGAACTGCAGCGGGGCGCTCGTCTCGGTTTTTTTCCTTCTCCGGTCAATGGGTCGACCACAACAGAAACCCCAGGCGAGGACTTAAGCATCACGTGTGCCCCTGGCACACAGCCCCGTTAGTTCTTGGCATGCAGGCGGCGCTCACCTCAGGCAGATGCTCTAGCGCTTTCTCCAGCAGGCGCGCGCAGGGCTCCAGGCGCTGCAGCCTGCGCTGCAGCTGCGCGTGCTCCCGGTGCAGCTCCTCCAGCTGGTCCCGCAGCCGCAACGCCTCCGCCTCCCGGTGGCCCGCCAGGTGCCTCTCCCGCGCCGCCCTCTGCAGTGCGCGGCTGCGCCTGGCCTCAACCTCCTGCAGAGATGGGTGGGGAGGAAGCCATGCTCAGGACCCGGGAGCTGGGCCTCCCGCCAGCCACCTTGACATGGCCAAGCCGGAGCCTGGGTGGCCCGCGCGAGTCACATTCGCCCTGCAGCCCTTCCCTGCGGGGTGGTGGGCCGACTCACCCCTACCCCCACAACCCCACCCCAAGGGTGCACCTGCCTGCAGGAACTTGTCGGAGCGTGCCAAGGACTCCTTCAGCGCCTGTTCCTGCTGCTCCAGCTCGGCCTGCCGCTGCCGCAGGACTGCCATTCTGGCCTGGAACTCCTGTGGAATGGTTGATGCGTTGGGCGGGGGGTGGGGGGAACACAATGTTTTCTCGGTCACACTTAGCCCACCCCCAACCACCGTTCCTAGTCTGGAGCTCAAATCCACCCTCTCCTGCATTGACCCCAGTGACTCTTGCTCTATGCAAACCCACAGATGTCCCCCTGCTTCCTGCCACTCCAACACCTGTACATGCCTTTACCCTCTGCCTGACTGCTCCTTCTCAGCCCCTCCCCCTTTGCTGGGTAAGCCCTTTCAGCAAGCCCTGAGACTTCCTCCAGGAAGCCCTCCTTGACTACGCATTGGCATGTGAAAGTTGGAGTCCTCTCTGGGCTCCCACAGGACCTGCTCAGTGCTTCCCCCTCTTACTTGGGATAGGGGGTGAGACTCCCAGACCTCAGGGTGGTGCCCCCACAGGGGAGCTGCTTGATGCTTGTGCATCTTAGCACCCCCCCAGCCAGGCTCACTGGATCTCCTTTGGCAGCTGAGGAAACCATGGCTCCCCCGGGGTACCATGTCTATGACCTGCACGGAACTGCCAGGCCTTCCAGCCCAGCCTGCTGCTCACCAGCGCCGCTTGTCTGAAGCTCACCTCCCTGTGCTCGCGCAGGCTCTGGTCAGCATCCGCCAACTCCCGTCTCTTTTCCAAGAGTCGCAGCGCTGGCGGAAAATGGTCCACGCTTTGCTGCAGCATCTTCCTGGAAGGGCTCAGAGGGAAGCTGGGGCTGAGGGAGTCAAGACTGGGGGTCCCCCAACCTTCCCCAACCCATAGTGCCTGCCGGGCCCACCTTGGGTGGCTACTGGCTTGGGAATTCATTCAGGTAACAAAGGGGCCTGAGCACCTACTTTGCGCCAGGCACCCTGGGTAGAACTTGGGACAGATAAAAACCCCCGCCCCGCCCTGCAGGAGCTGGCACTCCACTGGCAGCTCCAAAAATCAGGTCCCTAAATAATCATTAATAAAGCTTGGATTTGGTGGGTGCTGCGATGGTGTATTGACTCACTCCATTGTGCAATCATGAAGTCTCTGGGGAAGTGACCTCTGGACAGAGATGTTGGGAAGAGGCAGCCAGGCACACAGTGACTGCAGGGAACAGAATTTAACCTCGGGAACAGCCAAGACCCTGGGAGGGGAAGAGCACTAGGAGGAAAGTGTGATTGCAGACAAGAGGGAGGAGGCGAGAGGCTCTTGAGGGCTTTCAGGGTTGGTACAACTCTAAGCCGGGGCAAGGGGCGAGGCTGGGGGAAGGCTGTGAGGTGTGGTGAGGGGATGAGGTGGGAGCCCAAGGTGACCCAAGCAGCCGGAAAGATGCTGCAGGTGCACTGCGAGGATCAGCTCTCCGCTGCAGGGCATGGTCCAGGAGGCAGTGCAGCCCCCTCCACCCGCATCCTGCGTCCTGGGCTGGCTCTCAGGGGACCAAGTCCTGTGTCACTCATCCTAGAGCCGGGACCTGTGCCCATTTTACAGGTTTACAGGTTGACACCTGCTCCATCACACCGCATTGAACACACGGTGGGGTCAAAACACCCTCCCCAGTCTTCCTTAACAAGCAGTTGCCCGAGAGTGTGTGCATGACACACGAGTGTGCACATGTGTGTGGAAGGCCTGCCCACCTCAGCTCTGAGGATTTCATCTGTGCCAAGGTCAGCTGGGGACTGGGCTGGAGAGCGGGTTAGAGACCTGGGCCATTGGCCGGGCTCTGTCTTTGATGACCTGAGGCCTTAGGGAAAGTTGCCTTTTTTTTTTTTTCCTTCTGAGCCTCAATTTCTTTCCTTAGGAATAGGGAGCAATAACTGCATTGTCTCAAGAAGCCGGATCCCAGGGGGCCAGCTCTTTCCCTCCCCCCTGGGCCACTCATGTGGGAAATGCCTCAAGGGGCTTGCACACCTCCCCCACAGCCATCAGCTTTGCGCAAACCTGGGTGCCTCGGGGTGCTGATGAAGAGTAAAAAGGCAGCGGCTTCCTTGCTCTTCCAAAGCAGCCGGCAGGCAGGCTCTGGTC